TCGATGCCACGTGTCTCAGTAACAATCAAATATTTTAAAAGATATATATCGTTTCGGGATATTATAACCCGTGTTCGTTTCTCAACTGATCGCTTGGATTGTTTCAGGTGTTTTACCGAACAACAGCGACTACTTGATAAGTACAACAGTAAAAATTCAAGGGATTTCTGGAGAACTATTGGAAGGATTGGAGTGGCAAACGACAGGGACACCAGCATTCCATGGGAAGTTCATTCCGGAGATAGCATATCTACAGACAAGCATGTTGTGTTAAATACGTGGAAGGTCAACTACAGCGAGCTGTTTGTAGCCGACACAAACTCTAAGTTTGATGAAAGACATTTCAAGAACATTTCTGAAGAACTGTTTCATAATAACGTAGTCATCGATGCTGTCTTCGACAAATCCAGTTTGAACGCTCCGATTACATCTGTAGAAGTCGAGAATGCAGTGTCAAGAACAAAATTCGGAAAAGCCACTGGTGGTGACTCCATACCAGCCGAAGCTCTTAAAAACGGAAGTTGCATCGAGATTCTTCTGAAGCTATTCAGGTACTGTTTTGAAAATAGAACCTGTCCTGACCTGTGGAAGCGTAGTATAATTCATCCGTTGAAGAAACCGAATAACGATCCCAGGGACCCGTTAGGCTATCGAGGTATTTCGCTTTTGTCGGTACCATGCAAGATCTACGCTGATATACTTAACAATAGACTTTCCAGTTGGTTAGAAGAAAACAACGTCTTGGCAGAGGAACAGAATGGCTTCCGTAAAAAGAGAGGTACTCAAGAGCATTTATTAACGCTGTATTCAGCCTTGCATAACAGAAAACTGTCCAAACAATCCACATTCGTCTGTTTTATAGATGCCATGAAAGCGTTCGACAAAGTGAACAGAGACTGCCTATGGTACAAACTCCGTAAACTAGGAATAGACGGAAAATTCTATGAAGCTGTTACGTCCATGTATGAAAACACTACAGGACAAGTCCGCGTCAATGGATATTTAACAGACCTGTTTAATGTTAACACCGGGGTGAGACAAGGTTGTGTCCTGTCACCTACGCTCTTTGCAGTTTTTATTAACGACCTGGCCAGTGAAATTAACTCTCTTCAATGTGGCGTCAGTGTTGGCGATTCGATGTTAAGTATACTCCTCTACGCAGACGATATTGCTTTGATTGCTCCAAACGAAGCCAGTTTACAACGTATGATGGACGTCGTCGCAAGGTGGTGCTCTAAGTGGCGTCTGCTGATAAACATCGACAAGACGAAGGTGGTTCACTTCCCACCAACAGGTGTGGAAAAGTCGAGCGCGTCGTTTGTTATTGGCACGGAAAAGATCAGTTTTGCCCACGCTTATAAGTATTTGGGATTGTGGTTTCAAGAACTCTTGGATCTAAATTATTGTGCTAAGGAACTTGCGAAGTCGGCAAATAGAGCTTTGGGAGTTCTCATTTGTAAATTCAAAGCGGTAGGAGGCATGGCGTATGATGTCTTCAACACATTGTACAGTAATTTGGTGCAACCAATTTTATCTTACGGCTCTGCGATCTGGGGTTTAAGAGAATTTAGATGCATTAATAATGTTTTACACCGCGCCTGCAGATTTTTCTTGGGCGTCGGAAATAAAACTCCCAACCTAGCTGTTCGTGGCGAGATGGGCTGGCTTTCGTCGATAACTCTTCAAAACTTAGAAACATTACGACTGTGGAAGAAAATAATATCTCTTGAATCTGATCGAAAGATTACTGTGATAGTGAACTGGTCTAAACGCTTCCGGAAATCATGGGTAAATTCTGCTGTGTCTTTGTTGAAAAGGTTTGATTCAAGTAATCTGGACATGTATAATATTGCTGAAAATGATTTCAAAGTTCTTAAGGACCGTATCATTGCCGCCGACGCTGACTCTTGGTGGGTGGATCTATGGAATGACAGGGGATTAACCAATGGGAACAAACTGCGGACCTACAGGCTATTCAAGGCATCCGCACACGTCGAGTCTTATGTCCGGAATATTCTGAACAGACAACAGCGTAGTGTTCTTGCAAAATTGAGATGTGCGACTTTACCTTTAGAAATTGAGCTCGGCAGATTCCGGCGACCGATTACCCCACTTAATGACCGTATATGTCAGTTCTGTGATGAACATCAAGTTGAAGACGAGACCCATTTCCTGATCAACTGTACCCTTTTCTCTGATATCCGCTACGACCTATGGAGAAAAGCCTGCATTGCCAATTCACAGTTTCTGAGTTTCCACCCTTGTGATCAACTTCGCTTCCTTATGCAGTGTGTCAGCTTGTGTAAACCTCTGGCCGCAACAGTGACGTCAATGTTTCTCCGGCGACAACGTGCCGGGCAGTGATGTATATAATGTGTATGTTTTTGTGAGTGATAGATGAGTATGTGGGTAGTGTTTGTATGTGATGTATGCGCACGTGATATTGAGTGGATGTGGTACACTGTATGTGTGATTGAAAATGAAATGCGTGTAATATTTATGTGTGTGTGTGTGCGTGCGTGCGTGCGTGCGTGTGTGCGTGCGTGCGTGCGTGTGTGTGTACTTTCGATTATGTTCGTGTATTATTCTTGCCAATTTATATAATGGATAATTTAATGATTTTAAGTGCCTCATAGATCCTTCATGGGTCGGCTGATGTTTTTATCAATCATACGTATGTATACGTGTAATGTTTTTTACTGTTTTTAAACACCAGGTGGCACTATAATAAAATAATTTTCTTCTTCTTTTCTTCTGTCAAGTCTCAATGGTCGGCTGAGAAAGCCCACGTGACAACTGTTTTCATAGCGTCCACGGTTCCTAAAAATTCCATTGAGTGATAGATAACAATGATCAATCAATCAACGTATAATCAGTTAACCCTTTGAACAAAGTATGTTGTTTTTACATCGGCACTTCGCGCCATGATATGAGTGTATTCCCTTTGTTTTAGTAAACCTAGACATGTAAACACTCACTCTTGACATATCCACTGTGCAAGATAACAGTGATTAATCAATCAACGTATCTTCTGTTAATCCTTTGATGACTAGGAACGATCCGTTGATTTACAAAAAAAGTAAATCAACTGATCATTCATCTCTTGCTGGGCTGCCACGTGCATATTACATAACACACATTTCACCTCACTTCAAACCTGGAGTTAGATTGAATAATTACCCCAGACACAATAAATGCCAAATGGGAACCTTTGTCAGGTAATATAAGTGGTGCTACCACTAATTGTACCTGTAATAAATTCATTAACTGAGCATCAAGTGAATGACGACAAATACACAAGTGTAGGGTTATACGAGAAAACGTGGATGACAACAAGGGAGTAGTAATCGTATTATCGACGCAATCGGAAATCCGAAAATGCTTCCACTGCATGGATACTGTTTTTAGTATTAAACTATAACCATCTGGGGTATTTCCATATGACGACATCCGATGAGCTCCCTTGTTCTTTTTGTCTGTTTGTTTAGGCTGAAGAAATGAATTAACATGCGCCCTTTGTCGAAATCTTTATAGATCACAGTTAACCAATCAGTGTTCAAAAATGCGTAAAACAAATATTGCCTCCAGCCTCCAAGTTTATTTAGCTGTCCTTGCAGACGGTACCCCAGTCTCTGGTCACGCTCAGTTGCGTTGCGTATCATCCGGGTACTCACGGGGGAAATACAATAACAAAGGCAACAACCAGTCCGTTAGATCAGTGCCCCTTTAACGCGGCTGGGGAGTTGTCGTTTTTGCATTTTATTACAATGAGAAAACCAAACTGTTACGATTTGAACGTAAGCTTCAAATATATAACAACGAGTATGCTATCTTAACATTCATTATTCAAATTTGTCTACCAATACATGATTAAATTGAAATAATGTCACAATTTACACAAGGCACGAAGTACATCGTTGATGCCTCCAGTGCAGATGGGCAATACACGGTGGCTCGAGTCTCTTCCTTATAGAATAACTGAAATGTGGATCGGATGATTACAATGGATGTAAACGATGGATAGTAACCGGATTGGACTCGAGTGAGCGAGTATGGTTTTACGTGCTTTTAGCAATAACCCAGCAGTATCATGGCTAGGGACACCAGAAATGGGCTTCGACGAGCGTGACGAGCGAATGCTTTAACCACTAGACTACCCCATCACCCCTTAAGTCATCTCGACCAGCATTCAAAGCAATCTATATAGGAACTCGACTTACTAGTTTCTTTCATTCACGTGACTATCACATAACACGACGCAATCGTGTGACAGTTTTGACCATTATATAAATTTTCATGAATATCAAATGGTAAACGTAATATATATTAAGATTAAAAAGACAAAATCTCAAATTTTATGTTTCTCCCGATCGTCCGTCATAATGGTACTTACGTTTTTGCGGAGGGGTCTGGTCGCGAAAAGCTGCAAAATTGACGATGCGGCGTTAAGCAATATTCACTCACTTACTCACTCACTCGGCACCAGGCAATACTGTTCCATGCATCTTCCCGAGGCAAGAGAGTTAACTGGCTAGAAAAGTCCAGTTTCCACCCTTGCCAAACTAGGCTGGAATTATGGAGTTAGATTTTGGCTGGACTAACGAGTCTATGCAAAGTCCAATCAAAATCCGGTTCGTAAACGGTCATGCAGATTTCTGTCGATTGCAGGATTTGCAAAGCATGTGCACCGCCAACCTGTTGTCAATAGATATTTTCCTTATCTTTTCATGTTTTTAATCAAGGTGCTCACGTAATTTGATGGACTTCGCGATGTAAGACCCGTTTTATCACAATATAGATCTTGATTATCGACCAGATCTTCTTGACTGGGCGCCGCAATTTTGTTTGAAGCAAATGCATGTGATACGAGAGGTGGAATCTGATTGGTCCATAGGAGAGGCATAGAAGGGACATAACTCTTAATAGCCACTGGTGGCGCTACGATCAAGTCCATGAATTCCAGCCAAGTTCGGCAAGGGTGGAAACTGGACTGTAAAAGTCAGTTAACTCCCTTGCCTCGGGAAGATGTGTTCCATGGGAACGGGAGACACATTCCCTTGAACCATCTCACGACGATTTCAAGTATTGTAATACTCATCCATAACTCCACAAACACCGGCTGAAAAGGAATAAGAATAGAATAATAATATCAGTACAGTAAAATACGTTTATAACGAACACGCTTACAACGAACTGACAGATATTACGAACTTCATTTTTGGTCCCGGCCATTTGTTGCATGGATGTTGTATATATGCTTATAACGAACTACGGTTATAACGAACTAAAATGAGTGGTCCATTTGAGTTCGTTATAACCGTAGTTTACTGTATGGACTTATTTATTCTGATTATCATGACGTAAACATATTGTTATAGTGAGTGAGGTACTGCTTTACGTCACATCGGCAATATTTCAGCCATACCGTGACGAGTGTTATATCTACGAGAACATCGTCATATGTACACTGTGCACATATTGAAGATATAAGGGTTTTTTTAACGCCATGCTTTTGAGGTACGGTTTGTGTGATTCATCTCGCGACACTGTATCTGAATAAAGGGCCGGGGACTGTCGTTCAAATATCCGTTTATTGACTTTGACATGACGAAAGAAGTGCCCACGAAAGACGTGCAGACTATGAAATACAGTAATACAGTTATATCGAACTCAACGGGACCACTAATTTTAGTTCGTTATAACCATAGTTATATAACATATATACAGCATAACTACAGCAAATAGTCGGGACAAAAAAGTACGTTCGTTATATTAAACGTAGTTCACTGTACATGAACGTGGGAAAGCAAGAAGTGAATGAAGCTGCTGTAAAATGTCCTCTTCATGGGAGACTTCTGTGAACATGTCCGTGGTCGCGTTTTCAACAACATAGGTGCAATGAACATATTACTAAGATGGTAACTTTCGTGTTCCTAACGTAAAAAATGCTTCGATCGATAAGGTAAGTGTCCAAATAGTTCGAACTTTAATTTCTTCTTTCTTTCAAAATGTGGATCAGAGAACAATGAGCACAGTGGACGGGATTGGTTGGTTGTTTGTTGTTTAAAGACGCACTCAGAAATATTCCAGCTACATGACGGCGGTCTGAAAAATATTCGAGTCTGACCAGACAATCCAGTGATTAATATCATGAGCATCGATCCACCAATTGTGATCAATGACATGCATCAACCAAGTCAGCGAGCCTGACCACCCGATCCTGTTAGTCGCCTCTTACGACAAGCATAGTCGCCTTTTACAACAAGCATGGGTTGCTGAAGACCTATTCTACCCCGGATCTTCACGGGTCTACAGTGGGCAAGAAGCTGGTCTACATTTTGTGTTGTTCTCATGCACATGCAATAAAGGCATGTTTGTAATAACGATCTCTTATCGTGTATATTTCTCCTAATACTGCCAGTCTTTAGAATGTTTGTTGCTTCCGATGCGGTGGGGTAGCCTAGAGGTTAAAGCGTTCGCTCGTCACACCAAAGTCTCGGGTTGGATTCCTCACATCGGTACAATGCTTGAACCCAATTTCTGTCCCCAGCCGTGATGTTGCTTGAATATTGCTAGAATGCGCAAAACCATACTCACTCACACACTTTATTCCGACCGATGTCGTGCACAAGCAGTATAGGAATGTTAAACTTTAACAGTAAAGCTGTACAGAGGGTTTCAAGGCCACGTTCTCTCCACCATATGTAGCTTTTCCAGCTCTCATCATTTTGTGAATGAATATTCTGCTTATAAAATAGCAATTTTAAAACATAACGTTCTATACTGAACAACAAAAGTTCCTGTGACACTGAATAAGATTTAATGCAAAGTTATGGTGTGTTTTTTAACCAAATCTGAAACAATTTCTGTTTGCAACAGATAAAAGACTCCTGTAAGTGTTCAACTGGTTTAATTTGCCATACTGACTTCAGAATGCATGGAAAGCATGCTTTTCTGTAGCAATTGCGTTTTTGTGACTTGATTCCATACATGTACTACAATATTGAAAACCACACATTACTTGTTTGAAAAATGCAATAAAATATTGGTGTCACAAGAACTTTTGTTGGTGAGTATATGTAGATTTACAGCCAGTAACATCCACTTTACTAATAGTATATTATTTGTACCGCCGAGAGATATCTATATGTATTTGATATTAAGAGCAGCAAACTTTCATTGGATTATCATTTAGACCATTATCTGAATTATCTGAATAAAGAAGTTTTCTTATCCATAAAAATTACTTCTTCATTATCTGATATCTTCAGAATTGAGAAACGATTTTGCGCACAAGAAAACACATAAAATAAACAATTGGGAACAAGAATAAACAATCTGACATACTTAAACATATTCTGTCATGACTGATCCGCCTCCGCGGTCTAGTGTTAGGGCGTCCCGGTCATACCAAAGACTTTTAAAGATGGTACTTGTTGTTACCCTGCCTGGCGCTCGGCATTAAGGGGTTCAAACAAGGACTGGTCGGCTCGGAGTCAGTATACTGTGTCTTAGTGGGGTATTCATGTTTAACTGCGGCCTAGTATCTCAGTGGGGTAGCACTATAAAATCGGCATTAGTCCTGACTAGAGTGAGTATGGTTTAACGCCGCTTTTAGCAATATTCCAGCAATATCACGGCGAATCGAACCCGGATCTTCTGCGTGACGGGTGAACGCTTTAACCACCAGGCTACCCCACCGCCCCCGTCCGGACTTGAAGAAGCAACCACCCGAACACACACACGTGCATTCACGCCGCTTTTTATGTGCAATAATCTTGGACGCGGTTAAACCCCATTTCACCTCACTGTCATGGTTGTATACAGGGTCGACGAGGACACTATTTACGTGGTTATCTAGCCGTAGCTATCGCCACCTATCTCAACGATATGACATGTCACAGTCGATGTATCACAATCATTTAAAGATGAGATAACACATATTTGTGGCAATAGTAGGAAGCCGTCGAATTATCTGGGACTTTGGATATCTCCTCCAACATTCATGCTTTCTAAATCGATTCACGACAATGTCGGATATGCGGGACAGCAGAGAGCACAGGTGGGCAACACGTGTACAGGTATACCACCACTGGTCAATTTGGTGGTTTAGTGGTCAATTTTATCTGTTAATTATTTTAGTTTCAGGCCTGTACTGGCTAGGATTTACATGCCGGACTTTCAAAACATTGTTTCAAAGCTTAGTTTAAGGGTCGAACTCGAGATAGCGGTGTCTAGGTTTGAACTGAGTTTGTTTGATCACTGGTATGAAAACTCAAAACACGACACAAACATTAGAGTGACCTCCCTTGGTACAACGTTGACAGGACCTGGAAAAAAAAGAGGATTTATTCGCAAATATTGTAGGTTGTGCATGAAGCTGGTCAACAACGTATCCAAACAACTATATCGAAGTGACAGTAATGCATCGAACTGGCGTGAGCTGAATATAGTTTTGTGCATGCCTCCCATGCCTCGGTGAACAAAAGATGTAAACAATTGACTGCAGCAGCGATGTTGGGCAGTGTTTAGATCTAGCCTACATCATGTAGCCTCGTCCTTCGCCGCATGCCGTTTGTCAGATCAAAGCGATTGTAATAGACACGTGTAGATAACGGTGCATCGGTTCACTAGGCAACAGGTCCCGGGCGTCAGTTGACGTGGACAAGCATGTGAATATATGGCGAAATGATCTCATGACGAAAGACAATCATTTGTTAGAGCTAATCAGACGAGTCGACAAGTGGGTGAAGTGCGCGCGTAACTCCGCGCAATAACGTTCGCGCACTGTATAAGGCTGATTGCCATGGTCTAAATAGATATATGGAAGGACAGTTGTCAGCGTTACCAAGCATGTTCAACTGAAACAAGTCATAACAGGTAAGGTTTAGCAAAGACGTATACATAGGCATACTGGTTTTAGTTACGTAATAATATAAATTGCCATGATGTTCAGGTGCAAAACTATTTTTTAGAATTATGAATTAATCATAAGAATTAACAGCCTGTGAAATTTATGCTAGTCTGCTAGCCTCAGAATACTAAATTCTGCTAAGACAACTAAAAATGAAGTGATGACGGGGATAGCCCACTGCCCGGGGCCTGGTTGGTTAATGTTAAAGATATCAGCCAAGATATCCTAAGGACCAGTAGCATATCAAACATTTTCCGTGATTTTGGAGGGTATTGCTGTATGTTATCATTATTTGAGCTTGTAGACTTTCTTGGTTAATTTCTATCCCTGTGATGGTTGTCCTCAAAGGCTAGTAACATTTTACGTCTATAACAACAATTAAGTTCTCAATGCTGTAAAATTAGTACAAGTCAGTCTAGCAGGACGAGCTATTCACTCTGAGGACTAGGGACGTGTTTTGCACTAGTCCTCTAGACTCATCTAAAAAGAATAAATATTTCTTAGGCTGTAGGCCTGGGATGGGTACCCGGGTCGGGTTGGTACTGAGTAGGGCCCGAGTACCCACAGGACTACCCGGACCCGGTTGATATATTGTGTCATGACTAAACTTATCTCGAAATCTATGGTCACACTACAAGTCATCAATGTTTGTTTTTCTTTCTGACTATGCACCCATTCCTTCTGATTTTTCACGTGGTTGAATAAAGATATAACTTAAGTCAACTTCAGTGTATGCATGACCAGATTGTTTAATACATGTATCTAAATACGTTTTGCCAGGGCTATGCTAAAAAAGTTCCCAATCGGACATTTTGAGACATCTCCTGAGACCTACAGCGGGTACCCGGGTAGGATAGGGTAATTGGGGGCCTGGTACCCGGGTGGTAAATTTGGACTCGTCCCAGCCCTATTAGGCTGACTATCCTCTTGTATTACTGCATACTAGAACTCTTGTTATGTTGAATGATTGTGTTATACTAATTTATTGTTTTATCATGATTCCTGGTCAACACAGTACGAGTGCCCATAGTACATAAGAAGGTTCAATTCAGTGTTTTTGAAGGCCTATTCCACTTTATTTTCAATAGAGACTTTGCAAAAATTCAATATGATAAAAACATGATAAACGGGGTAGAACCTCTCTAGGGCACCTTGTTTGATGGTAAGAAATGGTTATTCAGAAACCTTGATGCTTCAGTAGTGTTGTCATCATATATGCGTGGAAGAACCCATTTGTTGATATTTGATTCCTCTTGACAAATTAAAAATGAATTCAGCGTTAGAAATTGGCTATAGTCCAATATTGTCCTAACCAATCTGCTTGATAGTTAGGTATCATTAGGACTTGTATTAAGGCCATTATTAAGGTTTTTTCTATATGTTAATATTTACTTTCTATTGCTGGTATGTAAATTAATCATAATGTCTTTGATAGACATTTAGAAGTTGAAAGAACATGAACATGATGAATACATGACACGTTTTATGGATAACAACTTCTTTTATTGTTTGTTACGATGTTTCAGAGATACTTCTCTCCCCTTCATCAGGTGAATACTGAATAAGCACATGGAATTGAAATATACATGATATGTTTCCAAAATAAAAAAAAGAGGAAACTTCAATTAAGAAGCTATTGAAATCCAAAGAAAGAAGCCAGCCATTAACAGAGACAAAGGCATCTGCCAACTGAGCGTGCACTGCGCTTTAATCACATCATCAACCACAAATTGACATCGTGATTGCCTTATTGTTAGTGTGACCATTATCAGCCCCTTGTTACCACACTCAACTCAATCACTACACATTCATTGTGCTTAATTGGCTTCTCTCCTCAGCTCTCAAAGTTGCATCACTTGCAACTAATTTGGTTGCCATGGCGGTTGAAATGTCCAATTAGCGACCAATATGATTTCACCAGTCGCCAATTGGCTTCATGGAAATATCAAGACGGCAACCTGATATTATTAACTGCGTTGTGCAGAAATGTAATGCATTAATAAATTCTGATCGATGAACTAAAAATTTATTTTAAAATTTTTTAAAAGGAACATGAGAATTGTAAGGTAAATATTAATCTATAATCTTGTGAAGTATTTACAACAACGTAAATAACAACAATGTTTGTTACATCAAACGTAAGAATCAGTATTGCTGCAGTTAGGCAGATTAGATATGCTTTAAGAGTATATACCGTATTTCCTCTATTAGACGCCCAGGCTTCTATTCATTTCGGACAACCCTTTGACCCTGCGTCAATTAGAGGCCCGGCTTCTATTAATATCCCCATTTCACTATGACCACCAATGTCCCGAATCGTCACGAAATGGAAATATTTTGTGTTTGTGTTCGCAGATATCCGTCCCAAAAAGGGATCATTAATTGTATCAATTGATCGACCCGGCGTCTATTATAGGCCCGGCTTCTATTTTTTGCACTGTACAATTGACCCGGCTTCTATTAGAGGCTGGCGTCTATTAGAGGCCCGGCGTCTAGTAGAGGAAATACGGTACATTACTGACTAAATAATCTTGAAGTTTGGCTCCTTGATCATGTTAAATTTTACCTGGGTTCTTGGATTTCACATTGGTTGCCTTAAAACAATTGTTAGGAGCCAATGGCTCCTCAGGAACAAAAATAACTTTGAGGCCTGCCCCTGTTAATCTCATTGGCTTTGTCACTAAATTGTTATGTTATACATTAATCCCACCCTGTGTAAACATATCATCATGTTTATATATTAACTCCATGTACTTAAGCAGCATTCACAGGAGCAAGAAGCAGCACTGAAACCTCCTAACGGAATAAGAGAAGTTGTTATCCATAAAAAGTGTTATGTATTTACGTTAATCGTCTTGCTCCTTTTGGAATGTGTGAATCGGTAAGAAACATCAGAAGAAAATCCCCTCAACTACTTATGGTTTTTAATAAGCAAATCTTCTATCCAAGGATTAAAATATTTACGTCTACTTCCTTGGCTACAGGGCATGTTTAGGGCATGGTGCACAAATCTGTCTCTTGAGGCAATGTTGATAGACATTGAGGTCGAGGGGATGCGTCTCTTCTGGGGTGTAACACTAGGACTGGTTGGCTAGGAGTCTGTACACTGTGTCTGAGTAGGGTATCTATGTTAATCTGTGGCATGGTATCTTGGGCTAGTGCTATAAAACCAACACAACACACAAACTTAAACACAATGTTAAACCCCACTTCTTCTCCTCTTCATCGTGGATGCTACACTTACCACATACCTGATGAGTGATCATGAGCATGATAAAGTCATGCAACTTTTATTCAAAACTTGTACTATTCCCTCAAATTCCCTCAAATTAACTTGACTTGCTGAAAGTGAAAGTTTGTAATTTATTTCATTATTGACAGAACCCTAATAAATACACTTGTTTACATATATTCTCAATACATTATTTTTTATATCCTTGGGTTTTCAAGCCACTAAGCATGCTAAGGAGTATTTCTGATTTCGTGTCTAATAACAATCCCAATACACTGAAATTAAGTCTTTTCTTTGAGAACATTATTTCGGTTACCACTTGGATGGTCAAATGACCATGTCTTGTTAATTTCATAGTGATAATACTAGGTCTGGGACGAGTCCAAATTTACTACCCGGGTACCCACCTCCCTATTATCCGACCCTACCCGGGTACCCGCTGTAGGTCTAAGAGATGGGTACAAAATGTCTGATTGGGAATAGTTTGACCGTATACCCTGGACAAAATGTAATTAGATACACATAAAAAATTATCTGGGCATGCATACACTGAAGTTGACTGAAGATTTATCTTTATTCAAACATATAAAAGTCAGAAGGAATGTGTGCATAGTCGGGAAGAAATGCAAACATTAGTGACTCTAAGTGTAACCAAATAGCTCGAGATAATTTTTGTAATTAAACAATATATCACATGACTAACCACAGGTCGTGGTAGTCCTGTGGGTACCCGGGTCCTTCCCAGTACCCACCCGAGTACCCGAGTACCCGAGTACCCGAGTTACCCATCCCTGCCCGAGATAATACCTCGATGAGTGAGACGAGGCAATCAGGAGCCATCTTGTTACCGTCACGTCTTCAAGCCCCTCCATTACTGCCAAGATAAAAACAAAAGCTCACATGACATTACAGACAAGAAGTTTACAAACAGCAGCCGATACATTATTAGTGCATATGATTGTTCTGGATCAAGTTTAATTGAGTGAGATGTGCATAAGTGAAAAGTTTTGAGGTATGTTTTCTTTACTTATTGAATATCTACCCGTGTAGCTTAATTCGTAACATAGCTTCAGTGGCTAGTGGCGAACACTTTGCTGTCAGTCTTCAGTGGGCTTTGAAGCGTCATTAACAGCGGTAGAAACTAACAGTTTCAGTCCACTAGTCCTTATAATGATAGCATATAGCAAAACCTTTAAAAAAGTCAAAATTCTACTAGTCCTTAGGATACCTTTACTATTGGGCAGTTTGGCAAGGACTTTAGGATTAGTGCCAATTTCTAACCCTGCATTAAGCGCGTAGTGACGTATGGTTTAACTTTAAAGGCTCGAAAAAGGATGAGGCTTGAAAACATGACACGGGGATATATAATAGATTATGTATATGCCTGGGATGATACAGCAACTGTGCGATCCGATACGTATCACGATACCTTGCTCACGATCCGATATGTATCACGATACTTGCATGTGCTGTTATCTGTGGTGTGTAAGCCATCTTTTTCATAGACAGGATGGCCAAATACCTGGCACTCGGATGATTTACAGTTGGCAGTGTCAAGTATGGCACAACAAATGAAAATATTTATGTTTTCACTCTTAACTTGCCCTACTGATAAGTGTTTAGCATGTTTAGTGGAACAGCTATTAAAGCAAACATTTAAGGTCAGAATCAATATTTTTAACTTAGTGTACGACTGTAATCGATACTTGTATAGGGAAGTCAAAAATCTCGATG